ATGGTCTGGCTCTGTCGCCCAGGCTGTACTGCAGTGTCACCATCTCTGCTCACTGCAACGTCTGCCTTCTGGGCTCAAGCCCTTCCTCAGCCTCTCAAGTAGCTGGGACTACTGCAGTACACCATGTCCCAGGACGTGGTACAGCATGTACAGACACCATGTCCTGTTGTTCTGCTGTTGTTGTTCTGGTACAGATGGGGTTTCATGATGTTGTCCAGGCTGGTCTCAAACTCATGGCCTCAAGCAATTCATCCACCTCAGTCTCCCAAAGTACTGACATTACAGGTGTCAGCCACCCCACCTGGCCTAGAGAAGGCTCTCCCTGTGGCAAGCTGCAGAGAGCCTATGGCCATGACTCCACGGCCAGCATCAAGCCCTGTTGCATGAGGACCGCTGGGGACCCAGGATTCCAGCTGGGCAGGCACTGAGAGGGGACCTGATGTGTGGCTCATGGTGGCCTCACAGCTGCCTCACTGTCCTGTAGCTACAAGCTGTCCTGCCAGCTGGAGCCCGAATCACAGTAGGCCAGTAACATCCTGCAGTGGCTGGGACCCCACCGGGATGCTAGTCAGAACACCAGCTCTGCACCATCCTTCACCTAGACCGTGACACCAGGGAACCACATCTAGGTAGCTGGCAGCTCAGCTGCATCTGGACCCTGCTCTTCGCGTAACACCAGCTGCTCCTGCTGGTCACGATTAGGCCATGGGACTTTTCCCGGGCAGGCGGGAGACCATTTTATGTTTATTTTCTTTAGTGTATAAGTAAGGCTTTTTTTTTTTTTAACTTTTTAAAATAAAAATTTAAAACACTATTCAAAATGTTCTATAGTTGTTGGAATGAGAAAAGTAACCGCAGTGCAGTAACCGTATACCAATCTTCAGGATTCATAGTCCAGTATGTCAAATTGAGGCTATGGCTGAACAAGTCATGCAACAGCGTTTATGTTACACATGCCAACCATTTAATGCTTTCCTTCTCTGTTCTAATTAATTATTATTAACTCTGTTTAAGGAAAACAAAAAACACAACAAAGCAAAACCCTTAAAAATCAGAGCATGTTACCCAATCTACCACACTTGCTCTACTGACCAGCAACTCTCAAATTTAAATTCTAGTTAAATTCGAGTTCCACTGGGTTACTCTACTTTCTTGAAGTTTAAATATTTAATGAATCACTTATATATTTACTGAAGGGCTGGAGATGGGAGGTATTTCAGCAATCGGTAGTGCTTGCCTTCTCCCGAAGTCCTGGGCAGAAGGGAGCTGGCCATCAGTCTCCATGAAATACAGATAAACTTTTTCCACTATGGATCTTCCCAGACTTTCTGACATCTCTCCCCTAACTGAGTATCAAGGAAGGAGAGAATCATTTGAGCCCAGAATCGAAAAGGATGTCCCACGGCTTAATTTGAACACAACCCCCAGTGTGTTATATCAGAGAAAAAACAAGCCAAAGAAATCAACATTTCAGGGTCTGAAACATGTAATACCCCCAAATCAACACCAAATAAACACCTAAACCCAATCCTGGAGCCGCAAAGCTCCTATAAGAAAAGTGGGAGTCTGTATCTCAGCAAAACTTATATCTCTGCACGCAGTTTGCAAAAAAGAAAGAAAACAAGAGCAAAAATTATCTATGGTAAGAAACCCTTAGACCATGCAATTGATTTGGTAATACTTTTTCTTATTTTTTGTTCTTTTTGGATGGGACACAAAAATCACTGCTAACGAACATGAATACAAACACATGGGACTATACATCATTTCAGAGCGTACGCATGGGAAAGAGGAACAATAAACCATTAAAGAAACCATCCTACAGATTGAGAGAAAGTTCAGCAGAATCTTACCTGTGAAAGGGGTTGTTATCTAACATGCATGAGAAACTAACACTACTCTAACTGGGAAAATGAACAAAACCTAATACCCAAGCTAAAACTGGGCAAAGATCCTGAACAGGCACATCTGAAAAGAAAACATGAAATTCACTGACAGGTCAAAGAGAAGCTGCTCAACTTCGCTAATCCTCACACAAATGTCTAAGTACAAACCCCGCTCAGAATTGTCTCACTCTAATTAGAACGAAACTTACCAAAAACAACAGAAAACCCATACGTTCACAGGCAGTGGCCAATGCAGAACACCAGAAAAAGACACTTTTATACACTATGGGTGGCAATGTACATTACTATACACATGAAGTGAAACAGTTGAAGGTGTTTTAAACATTTTACAACTATCCGTTCACCTAGCAATCCCACCACTGGTTATACACAGAAACCACATAGAATCTGTTACGTTGAGGAGGTATCGGCCTTCCTATGGCGACTGAAGCACTATTCACAATGGCGAAGGTATTCAATCCACCTACCTGTTCGTGCACAGATGAAGGGATAAAGAAACTGCAGTACACAATGGAATCCTCTTCAGCCATAGAAATTCATGAAACCATGTCATCTGCAGCAACGTGCAGAAACCTGGAGGACATGACCCTCAACGAAATGAGTCAGGCAGAGAAAGCGACACGGCATGATTTCATGCATGTGAGAATGAGATCAACTTCCTCTCTAAACGACTTTATCCCCTAGAAGTAGAAAGTTCCACAGTGGTGAAGAGAGGCTGTGGGTTGGGGAATCCTGGCAGGGACTGGGAAAGGGACACAATGTTACACTCAGATGACAGGAATAAATTTAGCTACTCTACTCCACAGCAGGTGTCCAGAGTCAACAGTATCCTACCATATTTTCCAAAAAAGACTGAAAAGAAAATAACTACACAAGGTAATAGAGACAGTCAATGCCTTGCTTTCATCATTACACAAGGTACATAGGCATGGATCAAAATGTCCTACTCTACTCTTTAATTGTAAATCTTTACTATAGAGCAAATTGGTTTTAAGCACATAGAAAGAAACAATGCTGAAGTATATGTGAGACCAGGAAATTCCCACATCTAATACACTAAAGAGCCACCACACAACACAAGAAATTACCAACAGAGTAGACAGACAACATACAGGATGAGAGAAAATGTTCCCGAACTATGCATCTGACCAAGGCCTAATATCCAGAATCTATCTGAAAGACCTTACAGAAATCAATTAGCAAAACCCCCCAAATAACTCATCAATAGGCACCGGATATAAACACACACTTCTCAAAAGATAATGTAAAAGCAAGCAACGAATGTGAAAACATGCTAAACCTAATTATCAGAGAAATATACATCAAAAGCACAATGAGCTATCATCTCACACTGGTCAGAATGGCAATTACACAGTTAAAAAAAAAAAAGGGACACGGACAAGGCAGCAGAGAAAGGGGACACTGGTCCACTTTTGGTGAAAATGCAAAGTAGTTCAGACACCATAGAAAACACTTCAGAGATTGCTCAAAGAACTTAAACCAGAACTACCATCTGACACAGCAAGCCCACCACTGGGATATACACAAAGGAAAATAAATTCTTCTGTCCAAAACACACATGCACACAAACGGTCTTGGCGGCACTCTTTACAATGGCAAACACGTGAAATCAACCCAGGTATCCATCAACAGTGGATCAGAAAAGGAAAATGGGGTACATATATACCACAAAAAACTAGGCAGCTTTAAAAAAAAAAAAAAGATGCAAATCATGTCCTTGGCAGCAACATGAAAGGAGCTGGAGGCCATTATCTAAAGAGAAATAAGGAAAAAACAGAACACCAAATGCCACATGTTCTCTCTTCTAAGGTGGAGCTAACATTGAATACACCCTACCATAAAAGTGAAAACAACAGACACTGCTGACTATAAGACAACAAAGGAAGAAGGGATGGAGTATGGGCTATAGACCTACCTGGTGGATCCACCATTCCCTGCGTGATAAGCTCTCTGGGACCCCAAGTCTCAGTATCAGGCAATATACCAAAGGCAGCAACTAATCTGCCTTTGTACCTTTTAGTTTATAATAAACTATATTAGTCTATAATAAATGTAGAAATTATGTTAAAAAATACAAACTTAGGAGCTAAAACAATGAATGAAAAACACAAACTTATAATTATCCAAACAATCTTTTATTGGCATAAACTAAGGAAGTGGTCAGAATGAGTAAACCAAATACTCAACCCCAATGTATATATAGTGAAATGTACACATTTTTCAAAAGAACACCAAAAAGGCACAATGGGCAAAAGACCGCCTGTTCAGTAGATGATTTTCAGCAAACTGAATATTCACATACAAAACACTGAAATAGGACCCTTATGTCATGCAAAACAAAAATCAATGCAAAATACATTAAAGACCTAAAACTGAATTCTGAAACCACTACAAGAAAACCCCTACAAGAAAACATACGGTGAGCACGTATTTTAGAAAACAAATCCATGCAAGTAGGCTGCTAAAGGTATTTAAAAAACAGTAAAACAAAGCAAACACTCTAAGAAAACAACCATAGACAATGTAATGCTTTGCCATTTTCAAGGAAAAGCTGGGGACCCGGTTCCACAGAACAGTGGAACAGATTAGAAGACCTAGATATAAACCTGCACACCTGAAACCATCTGATATTTGAAAAAAAAATCAACAAAAATAAGCAATGGAGAAAGGACTGCCTATCAGTAAGTGGTGCTGGAATAAGTGGCTAGCTAGATGCAGAAGAAATAACACTAGGCCCCTGTGTCTCACCATGTACAGAAAGTAACTCAAAATGAATCAAAGATTGAAATGCCAAACCCCAGGCCGGGAGCAGTGGCTCATGCCTGGAATCCAAGCACTCTGGGAGGCCGAGGTGGGCAGATGAATAGAGGTCAGAGAGTTCGAGACCACACTGGCTGACATGGTGAAACCCTGTCTCTACTGAAAAAACAAAACTTAGCTGTAAATGGTGGCACATGCCTGTACTCCCAGCTACTCGGGAGACTGAGGCAGGAGAATCACTTCAACCCGGAAGGTGGAGGGTACAGTGAGCCGAGATCGCTCCATTGCATTCCAGCCTGTACAACAGAGCGAGACTCAGTCTCTAAATAGATAAATACATAAAAATTCAAGGCCTGAAACTATGAGAAAATCCTGCGTGAGAATCTAGCAAATACCCTTCTCAACATAGGCTTTGGCAAAGCATTTAAGTGTCAACTCCTCAAGAGCAATTACAGATACATGGGACCTAATACACAGAAAAGCAGCTGCACAGCACAAGAAACAACCAAAAAAGTCAACACACAGCCTATAGAATGAGGGAAAATATTCCACAACTACGCATGTGAAAAACATCTAATATCCAGGATTTATCGTAAAGACCTTCAACAAATAAAATCAGAAAAAAAAACCCATTTTATAAATGGGCAAGGGACACGAACACACACTTAAAAGGAGGTGTATCAGTAACCAATGAGAATGAAAAGATGCTCAATCTCACTGATCATCAGATAAATGCACATCAAAACATACTGCGATACTACGTCACACTAGTCAGAATGGCAATTATGACACACACAGTCCACAACAACAGAGGCTGGTGGGGCAGATGAGCAAAGAAATGCAGGTTCACTGTAGGGGGAAATGGAAACTAGTTCAGACACCCTGGAGAGCAGTGTGGACATTTCTGAAAGAACTTAAAAGAGAATAACCACCCAATGCTGCAACCCCACTCCTAAGGATCTACCCAAAGGAAAACCCTTCAAGTGAAAACACGCATGCACTCGTATGTTCACGGAAGTACTACTTGCAATGGTAAAGACATGGAATCAGCCTGGGTGCCCATCAGCAGTGGATCAGAGAAAGGAAATGTGGTACATACACACTAGAACACTACACAGCCATAAAAAACAAATCCATGCTCTTACCAGAAACCTGGACAGAGCCGTAGGCCATTATGCCAAAAGGCAAGAACAAAAAACCACAATTTTCAAAACAGCTACAAAGGTCAGTTGTGAATATTCTCTCCACAGAGAAATCATAAGTCTGGAGCTCACAGAGATGCCAGACACTGCGACTTCATGATGATGCTATGTTTACGCAGATCAAACTGTGCCTTGCAGTCGCTGGTTATACACACAGACGATACGACAATGAAACTGCTGTCCTAGTTTGGTAACATTCATTCTCACCAGAGACAGATGCTATCTCAGTGTGGTTTTGATTGACTTCTCATGAGGATCAATAATGTTGATTCAGAATCTTTAACCTGTGCATCCATCTCAGGTCTTCAGGTCCTTTGCCCAGTCTTACACAACAAATTGAAACAAGTTCACAATAACCTGGCAAACATCACTAACCACAAGCAAAATGTAAATCAAAACCACACTTAGACACCATCTCATTCTAATTGGAATGAGTGTTACAAAAGAAGACAAAAAACATTGAAAGAAAGGGAAATGCTGGTGTGTTTCCAGAGAGAGAGAGAGACACTCTTCTCCACAGTTCGTGAGAAGGTTAAACTAGCACACACGATACAGAAACCACCTGGAGGTTCCTCCAAACCTTAAAAGACTCAAACTACCACTTCAACCAGCAATTCTACTACTAGGAATACACTCAAAGTCATTGAAATCAGGACACCAAACATAGATCTACCCACCCATGTGGATTCCAGCACTGTTCCCAAGAGCCAGTGTAAGCATCAACCTACCTGCTTATCCACAGACGAAGGAAGAAAGAAGCTGTTCCACATGTTCCCACCGGGATACTCTTCAGACAGAAAACCACAATGAAATCATATCATGGGGAACCACACGGTTGCACCTGGAGGAGATGATGGTAAATTAAATGAGTGAGGGGGAGAGAAACAAACCTTGAGTCATCTCACACATGCAGAAGCTGAGAAACTGTATCAAAGACTTCATGAGCACAATATTGGTTTCCAGGGATTGGGGGAAAAGATGGGTAATGGGCAGGGATTGTAAAAGGGTACAAAGTTACACATAAATGAGAAGAAGAAAATTCTGTTGTTCTATTCCAGTGCAGGGTGACCAGGGTTAACAGTATCGGCACATCACTTTCAAAGCAGCTTGACAGGAGAAACTGAAGGTTCTCAACATAAAGGAATAAACAATGGGAAAAGGTAACAGAAACACTAAGTACCCTGATTTCATCATTCCACAATGTATGCATGGACCATAACGCCCCACTCTACCCTCTCATTGTATTGTTCCTTTACTATGCAACACATTTGATGAAAGAAATAGAAATACATGCTGCTAACATTCATGTGGGACCATGAAGTGCCCCGTGTTTCATCCTCCGCAATCTTGAGACATCCAGACTACATCGGACACATCACATTTCCTGATTTCAAATTTCATGGAAAAGCTAGGGACCCAGTTCCACACAGAGCAGTGGAACACAAGAGAGGACCAAGAAGTAAAACCACACATTGAAAACTATCTGATCCAACAAAGAATCCACCAAAGTAAGCAAAGGGAAAAGGACACCCTATTCAATCAACAGTGTTGAAATAAGCAGCTAGCCATGTGCAGCAGAATAACACCAGGCCCCTACCTCTCACCAGACACAAAGAGGAACTCAAGATGAATAAAACATATAAACATAAAAACTCAAACTATTAAAATCCTACTAGAAAACCTGTGAAATACCCTCCTCCACATAGGCTTTGGCAAAGCATTTAGATGGCTAAGTCCTGAAGACCAACGGCAACAAAAACAAACAAAAATTGACAAGTCAGAGTGAATAACTGAAAGAGCTGCTACACAGCAAGAGAGACTACAACAGAGTAAACAGACAGCGTACAGAATGGGAGAATATGTTCCCAAACTGTGCATCTGACCAACGTCTAATATGCAGAATTTACAAGGCCCTTCAACAAGTCAACCAGGAGAATAAACAGAAAAAGAATATCCCATTAATATACGGGCAAGGGACGTGAACACACACTTCTCAAAATTCGATGTACAAGCAACCGACAAATAGGAAAACAAGCTCAAACTCACTCATTATCAGACAGCTGCCAATCAAAAGCATGACGAGATGCCATCCCACGCGGGTCACAATGGTGAGGACCACGCAGGCGAAGAACACACGCTGGCCAGGCAACCGAAGAAAGGAAACGCTGGTATGTTTTGGTGGGGATGAAAACTAGTACAGACACTGGTGAAAGCAGATCGGGGATTTCTCAAAGAAATGAAAACAGAACTACCATCTCACCCAGTAAGCCCACTCCTGTGCATCTACCCAAAGGAAAATCAACCCTTCTATCCAAAAGACACAGGCACTCGTATGTTCATGGCAGTATTATTCACAATGTCAAAGACATGGAATCAACCTAGCCATCAACAGTGGATGAGAGGCAGGCACAGTGGCTCAGACCTGTAATTCTAGTACTTTGGGAAGCTGAGGCAGGAGGATCGCTTCAGTCCAGAATTTGAGACCAGTCTGAGCAAAATGGTGAAATCCCATGTCTCTGATAATACAAAAATAAGCAGGATGTGGTGGCGGGCACCTATACTCCTATCTAATCCGGAGGTTGAGGTGAGAGGATCACCTGAGAACAGAAGGTGGAAACTGCAGATCACTGTCATAAGTGAACTAAGGCCCCAAAAGAAAACCAAATGCCACATGTTCTCACTTATAAGCAGGAGCTAAACTGTGAATGGACTCAAACATAAAGAAGAGAACAACAGACACCTGGAATGACCACCAGACCAATAAAAACACAGGGGAGAGGGAGCGTGTGCTAAAGACCCACCCTGTGGGCCCTCTGCTCACTGCCTGGGTTACGGGGTTGTTGGGACCCCTAATCTCAGCATGATGCAATCAACAGATGTAACTAACTTGCATGTGTACCCTTTAAACGATAACAATAAGAGTAGAATGCATTAAAAGAAAAATCCACGGTTACAACCAAAGACAATGCAAGGCTTGGTTCCGTGTGTGTGCGCACGCGTTCATGCACGCGCACGCACATTCGTGTGTTTCATGGAACTGGGGTGTTGAGCACAAAAATCACTGCTAACATATGCAACTATAGCCATATGAGACTCGGGACACTTTGCAACTTCTACACGGAAAAGAAAACAATGAAACAAACAAAAAAAGGCATCCTACGCACTTGGAGAAACTATAAAATATCCTACCCCTGAAAGAGGTTGTTATCTAACACGTACAATAAACTGGTATGACTAAGTGAAAAACAACAACGACAACAACAAATATCCAAGGTAAAAGGATCTAAACAGACCTGAGTGAAAAGAAGGCAGGAAATTGACTCACAGGTGACAATTTCTCAATATCGCTAATCCTCACAAAAATGTGAATCAAAACCATACTTGGCTACCATCAAATTCCACCTAGAATGAGTATTACAAAAGACAAAAATCAGCACTGTTGAAGGCAATGGTCAGTGTAGACTTGTAAAAAAAAAAAAATCTTCTACACTCTTTGTGGAATGAAAATTACCATACACACTACAAAAAACTTTCGGAAATTCCTTAAAAAAGTAAAAGATAGGCCAGGCACGATGGCTCACACCTGTAATCTCAGCACTTTGGAAGGCTGAGGCAGGTGGATCACCTGAGGTCAGGAGTTTGAGACCAGCCTCACCAACATGGTGAAATCCCATCTCTACTAAAAGTACAAAAATTAGCTAGACGTGGTGGCGGGTGCCTGTATTCCCGGCCACTCGGGAGACTGAGGCAGCAGAATCGCTTGAACACAGGAGGCAGAGGTTGCACTGAGCCGAAATTGCGCCACTGCACTCCAGCCTGGGTGACAAGAGCAACACTCCGTCTTTAAAAAAAAAAAAAAAAGGTAAAAGTACAACCATTACACCAGCTAACAATCCCAACACTGGGTACATGTTTAGAGAAGATGAAATCCCTGTGTTAATCTGCCTTTTCACGTGCCCTGAAGCCCTAGTCACAATAGCCAAGATGCGGAATCAACCTACCTGTCTATCCACAGATGAAGCGATAAAGGAACCACAGTACATGTATACAAGGAAACACACATCAGCTGTAACACTTCAGGAAATCATGTCATCTGCAACCACTTGGAGAAACCTGGAAGACAATTAGGTGAAATGAAACGAGTCTGCCAGGGAGAGACCCACGCTGCATGACATCAGGTATACGGAATCCAAAAAACATTGTCTCCTAGAAGCAGAACTTCCAACAGAGGTCACTAGAGGCTGGGGAGAGCAGGGAGCCTCGGCAGGGATTGGTAACAGGTACAGAGTGACGCTCTGATATGAGGAATCCATTCTGGTGTTCTATTGCACAGCAGGGTGACTAGGGTCAACAGAATCTAGAAAAATTTTTCAAAATCAGCTGGAAAATACGGTTCTGAATATTCTCTCCACAGAGAAATAATAATGATGGAAGGTCACAAAGATGCCAGATATGATGATTTGATCATGATACTACATATACATATGTCAAAATGTCCCTTGCACCCTTGGGTTGTGTGTGTGTGTATACACACACACACACACACACACTCTCTCTCTCTCTATATATAGAAACAAAACTGCCATCAAACGTTGGTAGTATTCATTCTAACTGGAATGAGATGAAATCTTGAGTGGGATTTTCACTTACGCTTTTGTGTGAATCAGCGATGGTGAGTATCTTCTCTTTGACCTGTGCATCAACCTCATGTCTTCAGGTCCTCCGCCCAGTACTACACAACAAATTAAAACAAATTCAGAATAACGTAACAAGTACCACTTATCATACACACACAAAAATCAAAAACACACTCAAGATTCCATCTCACTCTACATGCAACGGATGCTACAATAAAAATGGTGAAACACATTAAAACACAAAACAAGGTGTGGATTTCCAGAGGAGGAACCTGTCTCCACAGTTGGTGGGAAATGGTGAACTAGTATGCACACTAAAGAAACCACCTGGATGTACCTTGAAATCCTAAAACTACAACTACCGTTTTCTCCAGTAATTCTATTCCTAGGTACATATGCAGAGCATATGATCAGGACATGGAAGAGATGATCTGTCACCTCAGGTGGAATTCAGCCCTATGCACAAAAGCCAAGACAAGCAATCAGCCTCCCTGTCCATCCACAAATGAAGGGATGAAGAATCTCTAGTACACAGACACAATGGAATACTTCTGGGCCATCAACATTCATGGAATCCTATCATTTCCATGATAGGATTGCACCTGGAGTGCAACATGACGACACCTGCAGATATTCTGTTCAATCAAATCAGAAAGGCAGACAAAGACCAAGCCTGCATGTTCTCACTCATGTGGGAGCTGAAAAATGCAACTCACTGAAGGTGAAAGTATAGCAGTGGTCATCACAGACTAGGTGGAGGAGATGACATTAAGGATTGGCAACAGGTACACAGAGAGTTACAGGAGAGGAATACATTCTGGTATTCTACTCCAAAGCAGGGCGATGACACTTAACAACATGGTCGTGCCGTTTTCAAAACAGCTACCAAGGAGGATACTGAATATTCACACATCAAAGATATCAAACCTATACCTGGTCAGAAGCATGGGAAACTCCCTGATTTTATCCATACTCAAGGTATACAAACAAGTATCACAATGTCCCAATGCACCCCTAATTCTGGACATGAAGTATGAAACAAATGTTTAAAGGAATGTGAAGGATACACAGCTAAAATTTCACATGGAACTACCAAACACCCACAGATCCTGAATATGCAAAGCAATCCTAGGGAATACAAGCTCAATTGGAGGCCTCACACTCCCCAATTGCAAATTACATGTAAAACCTCCACTCACCAAAGACTACAGTAGTGGCATAAAAATGAATCCATGAACCTAGGGACATAAGAGAACCTAAACACACGCCTGTATGCAGCCAACACATTTTCTTCAAAGGAACGCCTAGAAGATGCAATGAGGCTGGGTGCTGTGCTTCACACCTGTACTCCCAGCACTTAGGGAGACCAAGTCGGGCAGATCACTTGAGGTCAGGAGTTTCAGACTAGCTTGGCGAAAATGGTGAAATCCCATCTCTAGTAAAAATACAAAAACTACTAGTCAGGTGTGGTGGCGCACAGCAGCAATCCCAGCCACTTGGGAAGATGAGGCAGGAGAATCACTCGAAGCAAGGAGGCAGGTGTTGCAGAGAGCTGAGATCTCGCCACTGCACTCCAGCGTGGGCGACAGCATGAGTGGGACTGTGCTCCGAAGGGAAAAAAGATGAGATGAGGAGTCAGCAGTCTGTTCAATTGAGCAGTCTGAAATGACTGGATAGCCACATCCAAAACAATGAAATAAGACCTTGATGTTATACAATAACAAACAAACTCAAAATACATTAAATACTAAACACAAGATGTAAAAGCATAAAACTGCTACATGAAAACACAGAGTGAGCTTATGTTTAGAAAATCCTGAATCTAAGCTCACAGGATGTAAAAGCAAACAACAGAAAAAAACAAAAACAGGAAAAAAACCCACTTCCAACAATCAAAGTTAAAAATCCTGGTATCTGGGAAAACAAGGCAGTGGTGTGGCAAGAAGGGAGCTCCAGGCATAGGAACCTGCAGCTTGAGAGGGGAAGGGACCTGCCCAAAGTCACTCGGCAAGACAGTGACCCATGACACCAGGAAGGCTGTGCAAACCACTTCCTGCAACTGGCATCTCATTGCAGACACACCCCACTGTCAGGTCCAGAAAGCTGACCACACTGAGTTCCAGGAATCACCCAGAAAGCCTCATGCCCTGAGTGGACCATGGTGAGGGCCATGGCGGGGCAGAGCAGGGTGGTGGGCGCATGGGGGCCTGATATCTTCAACTGCAGTCATAAGGCTGACAATGAGCGAGCAATATGGATGGGTCCAGATGCAAGCCGTGCCTGGCCCATACTCCAGAACTGCTGGAACAACATCTCAGGGACCCCTGGGAGCCAGAAACCCAATAATTATCCAGGACATTTTGTGTCCCCTGGTGTCTTGCACCAAGGAGACACTTGGTAAACTGGCTAAATGAAACTGACTTCTAATCCAAGCAGCACAGCATTTGAAGCAATATAAGGATCACAGAATCTTAACTGCTTGGTCTCTGATATTCCAGCATCCCAGAAAGGTCAGCTTAACATACCTTCCCCAATGGGGAGCTCACTACCTTCAAAGACAGCGGGACTGTAGTTAGTTGGCGAGTTCTTCCAAACCTTAAGTGCGAATTTGCCTCTTTGTAACACCTGCTGCAGGTGGGCCTGGCCTCAGATCCTGCCCACTGTCTAAGGCCACAGAGCAGAGAAGCAGGGGCCACCCCAGATCCTGTATCTGGCCACAGCTTCTCTGAGCCACAAAGACCACACTGAAGGGATTTTGGAAGGAAGACTTCAGCTCAACGAAAGAGCTGGTGTCACTCAGTTGTGATGGAGGGAGGTCAGCACAGGCCAACTGTGGGCATGGGCAGAGCTCCTGTGCCCCCAGAGCATGGCCAACACTCCCAGTGCCATTTGCAGCATTTATTATTCCAGCACCCACCTTTCATGTGACGACACAGACTGGAGCAGGGTCAAGTGCGTGGGTCCTTCAGAATTGTCAGCTTGTGAATGCCTGGGATCACCCAGCCACAGGGCTGGCCTGGCACTTGGTGGACCAAGTCCAACTATCAAACTCAGAGGCAGGATGGCAGAGGCATGGGCCCTAGAGTCTCTGGGTTCAAACAGCCTCAGCCACTGACAGTGTAGGTATCACTGCAGCCTTTCCCTTCCTGGCCTCAGTCTCCTACCTGAAGAGCAGGGATAACTAGAACAGTTGCTGGGAGGATTCCCTGAGATGGCCACGCGCAGACTGTAGGAGGCACCTGCTACTTTCGAGGCCTCACAGGGTCTCACCAGGCTCTGACACCGGGCTGTAGGAGCTTCTCTCCTTTCCTGATGAGCAGCTCAGAGCAGGGGCCCAAAGGGCGACCTTCCTGGCCACCCTGTCCTCCCTGCCCAAGGCATCCTCCACAGGTAGGATTTATCACATCACCTCCTAATTATCTGCAGTGCCTCAAAACTCCAAGGAGAGGCCGGGGGTGGAAGGAGACTGTCCATGCCTCAGCCCCAACGCTATCCTACAGCCTGGTCTCCAGGAGAGCCAACCCGCTCCTGTCTCAAGGCCTCCCTGGTGATGCTCAAGACCACCTGTTCACACACAGCCCCCCGTGACTTCACTGATGCCAAAACTGCCCAGCACTTTCCACACATGCCATGCTCTCATCTGGACTTTTGGGGACCTCCCCCTGCCTTGTAGCAGCACCTTCCCAACCTCCCTCGCTTCTTGGATGCTGGGCTCAGGAATGCTCTCGCTGATGAGTCTGCGCCCTGCATCCTTACTGGTCCTGTCCAACTGCTCCTGCCTCTATACCCCACTCCCAGCCTCACCTGACCCCCAGTCCCCAGGGTCCACCCCTCTCACCTGGAGACTCCCAATCACAGGTCTCAACCCCCCTGCTGTTTCCCTACTACAGCCCTGGCAATCTGCATGCAAATCTGAGCACACCCCTCCCCCACTGCAAAAAAAAAAAACAAAAAACAAAAACACTCCGGAGGCCCCCCTTATCCTACCCTGCTGATGCGCTCGTTGTTTTTTGTTTTGTGGTTTTTTTGAATGGGTCAGCTGGATATGAACCATCCTTTCCTGTTGCTCCTTCTTGGTCTTTGGGACTTTACACTGACTCCATTATCATGGAGGCACTCTTCAGACACCAATCACAGTGCCACCTCCTCCTCAAGCCCTCCAGCACTGCATCCCACTCTGCAGGCCGGCTGCTACTGCTGCCTCCATCCACAGTGCCCAGCAATCTTCACTGAATGGATGGATGCCAGCTGTCAGGTGGCTAGCTGTTTTTAGTAATACACATCTTCTAGGACTTTACACTGAATCTACCTAGCCACCTGACAGCTGGCAACACTAATCTTGTAATCCCAGAACTATGGGAGGAGAAGGTGGGTGGATCACTTAAAACCAGGAGTTTAAGACCAGCCTGGGCAACATAGTGAGACCCTGTCTTTAATTTTTTAAATTTTTTTTAAAGGCCAAAGAAGACAGGATTTGGGGAGCTTCATGTGGAGGCTGACAGGAAGGGATCAAGAACTCATCCATGGCCAGGCCCACTGGCTCATGCCTATAATGCCAACACTTCGGGAGGGTGAGGTGGGTGAATGGCTTGAGCCCAGGAGTTCACCACCGGACTGGGCAATATAGACAGACCCCACCTCCACCAAAAAAAAAAAAAAAAATTAGCTGGGCGTGGTGGCACATGCTTGTGGTCCTAGCTACTTGGGAGGCTGAGGGGGACGATCACTTGAGCACAGGAGGCAAAGGCTACAGTGAGCTCAGATAGTGCCACTGTACTCCAGCCTGGGGAACAACAAAAAAACCCAACTCATTCACGTGTCCAACTCTACCAGGACATAAACTTCTGTACTTGGGAGTCTTCCAGTCTTCACCTTATATTATCTCTTCATCTGACTGTTTATTTGTAGCCTTTATTTATCTAGTTTTTTGTGATCCGCCCATCTCAGCTTCCCAAACTGCTGGGATTACAGGCGTGAGCCACTGGGTCCGGCCTGTTTTTTAAAAATAATATTTTATTATTTAAAACAACCCTTCATTGAGGTATAATTGAAACACAATAAAGTGGACATTCCAAGCATTACTAGATTTAAGTGCGCAATATGATACATTCTGCCACATGTATACATCCATGAAGCCACTATCACAATCAAGATAGTAAACGTACCTGTCACCCCCAATGTTTCCTCATGCCTCTTGGTAATCCCTCCCTCCTGTCTCTCCCTGCCCGCCACCATCCAAAAGCAACCATTGATGTACTTTATTTCCATAGTTTGCATTTTATAGATTTTGGGATATGTAAAATATACTTGTGTGTGTGTGTGTGTGGTGGAGTCTCACTCTGTCACCTACACTGGGGTAGAGTCTCAGCTCACTGCAACCTCCACCTCCAAGACTGTAGCTCTTCTCATGCTTCAGCCTCCTAGGTACCTGGGACTACAGGCCCATGCCACCCTACCCAGCTAGTTTTTGTATCTTTAGTAGAGACGGGGTTTCACCGTGTTGGCCAGGTTAGTCTTAAACTCCTGACCTCAAGTTATCTGCCCACCTCAGCCTCCCAAAGTGCTGGGATTACAGGTGTGAGGCACCATGCCCGGCCAGAACTACTCTTTTCTAAATGGCTTTTCACTTAGCATAATTATTTTGAGACTCACTCACGTGTATCAGTAGTTCCTTTCTATTGTCGAGTATTCTGCAGGACGGTGTGCCACAATATATCCATTCATCTGCTGATGGACGTTTGAGTTGTTTCCAGTTTTGGGCTATTACAAATGAAGCTGCTATGAAAATTCATGTATAAGTTTTTGCATGCACATATATTTCCTTTTCTCTTGGGTAAATACCTAGGAGTGGAATGCAGGGATCATAAGGTAGATGCATTTTTTTGTTTTTTGTTTTGAGACGAAGTCTCGCTCTGTCACCCAGGCTGGAGTGCGGTGGCCAGATCTCAGCTCACTGCAAGCTCCGCCTCCCAGGTTTATGCCATTCTCCTGCCTCAGCCTCCAGAGTAGCTGAGACTATAGGCGCCCGCCACTTCGCCCGGCTAGTTTTTTTGTATTTTTTAGTAGAGACAGGTTTCACTGTGTTAGCCGGGATGGTCTCGATCTCCTGACCTTGTGATCCGCCCGTCTCGGCCTCCCAAAGTGCTGGAATTACAGGGTTGAGCCACCGCGCCCGGCCGGTAGATGCATGTTTAATGTTTTAAGAAACTGTCAAACTGTTTTCCAAAGTGGTGTGCAGTTTTACATCCCCATCAGCAGTGTTTGGGAGTTCCTGTTGCTTTACATGTTCAATAGCTCATAGCATGGTCAGGTTTTTAAACATTAGCCATTCTTCTGTGTGTGTAGCAGTATCTCTGTGGCTTTAATTTGGCATTTCCCTAATGACTAATGATGTTGAACATCTTTTTGCGTGTGTCTTTGCCATCTGTACCTTAAGTATGTTCAAGTTTTTTCCTCATGTTTTATTATTGAGTTTTGCAAATTCTTCTTTTCTTTTTTGAGATGGAGTTTCACTCTTGTTGCCCAGACTGGAGTGCAATGGGGAGCTCTTGGCTCTCTGCAACCTCCGCCTCCCAGGTTCAACCAATTCTGCCTCAGCCTTCCAGAGTAGCTGCGACTACAGGCATACACCACCACTTATACACTGTTGGTGTGACTGTAAATTCCTTCAGCCATGGTGGGAAGCAGTCTGAAAATTTTTCAAAGAACTTAGAAAAGAACTACCACTCAACCCAGCAATCCCGTAACTGGGGATATCTGCAAAGGAAGATACATCATTCTGGAAAAAAAAAAAAAAAGTCACTTGCACCTGTATGTTCATCACAGCACTGTTCACAAGAGCACAGACATGGAATCAACCTAGATGCTCATTAGCGGTGGATGGATAAAGAAAATGTGGTACATACACACTATGGGATACTACTCAGCCATAAAAGCGAATGAAATTATGTCCATTGCAGTATCATGGATACACAGCTGGAGGTCATATCTAAAGCACATTAAGCAGAAACAGAAAACCAAATACCACCTGTTCTCACTTACAAGTGGGAGCTAAGCACTGGGTACACATGGACATCAAGATGGAACAACAGACACTGGGGACAACCACAGAGGGGAGAGAGGGGTGAGCGCTGAAAACCTACGTATTGGGTCCTATCTGGGTGCTGGGGATCATTCATACTCCAAACCTTAGCATTGCACAATACACCCACGTAACAAACCTGCACATGTACCCCTTGAATCTAAAGTGAATGTTTTTTTTTTTTTTAAATCTCATGGGATTCATTAGAGGAATTAAAAGAGGCTGAGTCCATCCATGTACCATTCAAAATCCAAGAGTGGCTCACAAATGCTCTGGTCTTAGAGCTTCATTATGGGTTTTGTGATACAACACAAACAGGCAGAAGGGAACTGTATTCAATGTACTTGAAACGAACCGTCGCATATAAAACAATACCATTTGTAGCCAGGCATGGTGGCTCACGTCTGTAATCTCAGCAGCACTGTGGGAGGCTGAGGAGTCCGGCAGATCATCTGAGGTCAGGAGTTTACATTCCCATCAACAGTGTTTGAGGGTTCCCCTTTCTCCACATCCTCACCAGCATTCATTATTGCCTGTCTTTTTGACAAACAACTATTTTAACTGGGGTGAGATGATATCTCATTGTGGTTTTGATTTGTGTTTCTCTGATGATCAGTGACATTGACATGCCACCATGCCCTCGGCTGGCCACAGCTCAATTATACATCTAACATTCACGTGGCTCAAAGAGTCCCTATGAAGCCAATATGGCCACTGGTATCATGTAGAAGGATACAAGACACAAACACCGTTTGCCAGCAGACTGGTATCGTGCCTGTGTCTTTAGCAGGAGTCCTCATGACTGTGCACACGTCAGTCCAGGGCCTATTCTCTGGATCCTGCTCCCCAAGCGACACCTCAGGTGCAAAGGAACAAGGTCACATGGGAGGGCACAGGGCTACCTGGCTTAGAAGCCTGTGTCTCAAAAAGGAACTGAGATTTCTTTTAACAGTCCTATCGTCAAAGTTTTCAAGGGTCCCAGCAAGGGACATACCTAGTTACAAACACCACTGCACTCAGGGAAACCCAAAGTATGGTTTACCTCTTGATTTTTTCTCCAAAGTAAACCACCAAAAAGTTGACCATAGACTTCAAAACATGTGTAACAGCAAAGTCCAACTGATGGCAGACTTCCACAATTGCAATTACTCTTCTCTAACTCTAGACGCCCCCATTGTTTACAATTCATTCATAGCTCTCCCAATTCAGATAATGATGACCAATTACGGGATGTTTTTATTTGTAGTCTGGCAACGCAACACAGATGACATTCCACCTTTTCCAGGTTTCCAAGGGAACCGGCTCAGAAAGTTAACCCAAGTTCACATTTATTTCTACAGAAAGATAAAAAAACTTTTGTAACTTTATTCATGCATATGCAATACAAGGGTCAGTGGACTTTCTGAGACACCTTCAACCTCACTGACAAAATTTCAAGAGCTGTGACAAACCTTAATGTCAAACAAAGACTGCTTTATAACAGCAGAACTGCTATCACATCTGTCAGCTGGATCTGCCACGGGCTTTTCTGTGTCGTATCAACTGCTTCCCCATGTCTCTGAGTTGTTGAAAGTATCCCAGCCCCAAACACATTTGTTTTTCTTTCTTTTTTTTACTTTTTTGAGATGGAGTCTCACTCTGTCCCCCAGTCCAGAGAGCCGTGGCGCAATCTCGGCCCACTGCAGCCTCCGTCTCTACCTCCCGAGTTCAAGCAATTCTGCATCCGCCTCCAGAGTAGCTGGGGCTACAGGCGTGTGCCACCACGTCCGGCTAATTTTTGTATTTTCAGTAGAGATGGGGTTTCACCATGTTGGCCAGACTGGTCTCGAACTCCTGACCTCAGCTGATCCACCTGCCTTGGCCTCCCAAAGTGCTCGGATCACAGGTGTGAGCCACTGTGCCCGACAGGAAAACACATTTCCAGTTCATGCATACATATGCCAGGTGGGATGAACCGGCCCCGGGGCCCCCGACGGTGCTCATGCGTAGAGCAGGGTGATCCCCAGGCCCCAAGATGGCATGCTTGGATGCTGGCAGCAGGTGATCTGGCCTGTTGTTAGGCCCCGTGCTGGTGCAAGCACAAACCAGAAGTGGCAGGCAGGGCAGGTCTATCCCCTGGTCCCTAGATGGAGTACTTGTGCATTTGCGAGGTGGAGGACCTCTGGGAGGGGTCAGCCTGTCCTTAGGCCCTGTGGGAGCCTGCATGGACACAGGTTGTGGTTGGTGGGTTGGGGTGATCCCCAGGCCCCTGAATGTCATCCTTGGGCACCAGGGGCAGGTGGGCTGGGTCTCTTCTCGGTTCTCCCTATGATAGGTGTCTGTACCCATGGCAACAGGTGGGCAGAGCAATTTCCAGGCTCCCGGGTGGTTTGCTTGGGTAGCAGAGGTGGTGACTGGTTGTGAGTGGGGTGAGTCTGCATTCAATAGTCAACTCAGAAATCCCAGACACCGTTTTCCATGCCAACTGACCTGCCCACCACCCAGAAAGACACTGGACACTGTGCCGTGTGGCTGGCCCAGCACTGGGCCAGGCCTCCGTGAGGATAAGGAAACATGGGAGGCAGGAAGTCTGGGCCCTGCCCTGGGGAGGGAGAAGAATGAGACACAGGCAGTGGTCATTGACCAGAAGAGACGGAATGAGTAGAGGATGCTGCCAGGCGCTGAGTATAAGGAATCATGTAGCTGAAGCTGTTCATCTGACATATACCAGAAACCATATAGAGTGAGAAAAAAAACAAAACCAAACAATGCAACAAAACTTGGGCAAAGAACCGAAAGACATTTCTGAAAAGAAGGCAGAAAATGAACAGGTAAAGGAAAAGCTTGTCCACATCACTAACCATCACAAAAATGTAAACCAAAGCCACACTAAGAGAGAGTCTCCATCCACATAAAATGAATGTTGCCAAAAGCAAAAACATAATTTTTAACAGGCAATCACCAGTGTGGATCTGCAGACAGGAAACCTCTTAGATACTACCAGTGGCAATGGAAATTGGTGTACACACTACGAGCAATAGTCGGCAGTTCCTCCTCCAACGAAAAATACAACCACTACGTCATCCAGCAATCTCACCACTGGGAAATACAAAGTACATGGATGTATTATGCTTCCTGATTACAAATGACATAGAAGAGCCATAGTGATCCAAACAATATGGTTTTGGCATCAACATAAAAATACAGAACAACAGACACAACGAGGGAACCAAATACCAAACCCAAATTCATCCATGACGGACAGAGTTTTAAAAAAATACACCCAGGGGATGGGAGACTCTGGGCTGCCTTCGGTCGGGCTGCAGAAGTGTCCTGGGGGGACCTGCAGCCGTCTCTCACCTGGGCTCTGGATGATTTCTACTCCATGACGATTTCCAGTTTCCCCTCAGCCACCTTCAGAGTCAGGAGGGCTTCAATGGGGCTGCGACCATCTGTCCCAGCGTTTCCTGTCTGAATGACACACCGCGTGATCTACGTATACTGCAATATGTAGCTGCGTGTACTGAAAGCGTACAGTTAAGATGACTTGCAACCGATGCTACTCTAAGTCTTAAAACATTTTTCAGATATCCCCAGACCAAAACAAACTAGTGACATTCCATGGTTTTGCAAACTGGCACCAGCAACTGCACAGAAACAGCTCCCTATGCACCATCAGACACTCTCCAGACCCGCCCCTCGCTCACAAATGTAACA